GAGATCACATCAGTTTTGTGAAACTGAAACTGGTGCATTGGAAGAGAGGGAGCTGCCCCTGAACAGAGAGAAATCATGCACGCCGTCTTAAACCTGCCGCACATTACAGGAGAATTTGCCCGATTTTGGCTGCGATTTACTTCTCGAGTTCAGGGAGGCATGACCTGACTTCTTGTCTTTGTGTGAGATTTTCTGACCACTATGCTCCTCGTGTGTGTGACTTTCATATCGCAACCACCAAACATCAGCAACACTGCGGTAAAAGCCGATAAAACAGAAAGTCAGGGGCAGACGGAGTGACGGACACAGAGACGCAAGATACAAACTCAGGAAATAGCAAAAATCAGAGGAAGAGGAAATTTTATTACTCACCTTTTGTAAAGTTTTAAATTTAAACTGCAGCGTCTCATCCACATTATCCATAGAAATTGTCCTCTGCAAATAATGACACCCAGTCCACAAAACCGCACTATTAATCCAGTTTGAAGCATTCTTTTAACGTAACAAGGTGAAGGTAGTTCCTCACGTGTGTTTGTTTACATCCACACAGCACTTGGATCGCGGTGAAGATGCAGATTAGCGATAGTGACTCGACTTCCTGTTTACTTTATCGCCAATCTTTTATGCTTTAGAAATCATGTATCTGAAGTTCTGCAACACCTTTCAAAAATAATAACATACTTTTGACTTGTATCTAAACAAGAAGTGCAGAGCTCTGATCTTAAGAGCCTCAAAGCGAGTCGTTTTACTGTAGACAGGACAGCTGTTGTAAGGTGCATTCACAACTGTGTAGCCTTTGGTCTGCAGTCGTATCCCGCTGCATTCTTTGCAATTGAAGATTTTAAGTCTCCTTAAACTCTCCTTGTGTCTGTAGTGTGCACTTTTTGTCGCACGTTTAAAAATTGTTTAAGACAGAAAAATACTGTGGTGTGTGGCAGCCTTGCAAATTATAAATTTTATTAGGACTGTATTTATAATTTTCTATATTATACTATCCAGATGTTTTGTTTTTTTTTAGAATAGTTTGCACATAGTTGATATAAAATCAGTACAAATAGATCTGTTTCGTTCTGTGTACCATTTTTGTAATAATCATAAAATAGCACTTAAAGTAAAAGCAGTAAAGCCACTAAGAGCCTCAATGAAAAACATATTAAGTTAAAAAAACAAAAAAACATGCCACACCAGGACCCAAACCAGAATCAGCCCAATGTGATGTTTTCTTTATTGTCCAGCAGCACTTTCACACTCACCTATCGTGTCTCCTCCTCCACAGCCCTGCACCTGGCCAACCAGCCTCAGCAGCAGATGTACTCCGCTCTGGCCCCCACCCCGCCCTCCATGACCCCCGGCCCAAACCCTCAGTCCCCCCAGGCCTCCTTCCCCTCGGCCCAGCAGACCGTGTACCTCCACCCCACACAGGTGCAGCACGGCTACACCCCCAACCACATGGCCCACGTTCAGCAGGTCAGTGCCAATACTAAGAATTGAATGTGTCATACAGTGCTTTGATACGCTTGGGGGGTTCTACATGTATCTCTATGGTGGAATGTTCAACTGTCTTCCATGGTGTCACAGTGCACCCAGCAACACCGTCAAAAATGTTTTAAGACCGTCTGAAAACTCAAGAAAAAATACAAATGGATTTAAACTGCACACTTTCAGGAGCCTCACAAAAGCCTCAGACAGTTTAGCTAAATCAGTCTTTCTAATATATTTTTAAAGACTTTTTTGTTGCCTTTTCCAGTATTAGAAAAACTCTTGTCTTGTTTGATCAACAAAATTATGAGTCAAGTCAAACAATCCTTTTGTTTTAAGTGTAATTTCACTCAAGTTTTTGTGCCTCTATGTGGGTTTCAAGCTTCCTGTTGTTACACAGTGACATTTTGAGAACTTTTGAGTAATAAAAAATAGGGATGTAACAATATCCAAATCTTTAGTGTGATATAATTTTAGATAAGACACTTTTCTGCTTTTAAAATACCTTGACAAGATTTTGGTGTGAATTATTTCCGTCATAAATCCCAAGAATTCAAGTAAAAAAACATATACCTTCATGTAGTTTGCTATGAAATGAATCATGGGATATTAATTTTCATAAGCTGTTGCTATTGTAAAACCATGCATTTAAGCAAAGGAACTTGTAATTCGATATATTGAGACAGCCGACGATATTATTGTGAGACTTTTGACGATATGATATCACAATATTTCTGTTATTGTTACATCCCTAATAAAAGACATATCTGTTTTGAATTGTTACTTGAAATGGCAACAATCTTAACTTTTCAACACTCTGAAATCAATTCTGAAAATTTTACAGCCCAGTCAGCCAATTCACATGAAATTCAAACACTGTGTCATCGTGGTCTGTTATTTTACAATCCCAGAAATGTTCTGTTTTAGCCTTTGTGGTTCAGTCATGACAAACATTTTTCTCTCTTCCTTCCTCATCTTAAGAAGTTGGTCCAGACACTGAATTGCTTCCTGTGTATTCATTATTATTGTCTCTGGTCTCCCCTAGGCACACATGCAGTCTGGGATCGTGCCCTCTCACCACCCCACCCCCACCCACCCCCCCATGATGCTGATGGCGACTCAGGGCCCCCCTGGAGGTCCACAGCCCCCCATGCCCCAGACTGCCCTCAACCCCATCCCTGTGTCCTCCACCACACACTTCTCCTACCTGACACATCCAGGTAAGCAGCAACCAGGGGCAGTTAATGGGAACCTGTGAGGGACCAAAAGAAAGTTAAGATGTTCATTAGATGTTTGTTGACATCAAAATTTGAACTAAAACTTAAAGGGCACATGTTACACCATTTTCTAATCTGTTATAATGTTTTTTCCTCATCAAAAATATAATTGGAGTTGGGTTTTGTTTCATTCACACATGAGTTCTTCTCTCAAAAACTTCTCTTTTGATGTCATGTAGTAATACAGGAAGTGCTCCACTGTGTTTTTAAACTCCATACACCTTCAGTAGAATCATTTGGATATTTTCACACCTGGAATTGCCAATCTCTACTCAAACATGCGGAAATGACACAAAACACAACTCCAGGTATATTTTTGAGGAGGTAACTGCATTATAACATGGCTTAAAGCTCACAAGAATCCATTTTGTGTAATATAGAACTTTTAATATCAAATGTATGTATTTTACCTTTTGGGTTTTATAATGGCACTGTAGATAATTCTTACACATACATAAATTATATAAAAAACCACTCTGTTTTTATTGCACTCCCATCACAAGACAGAACTGTTCATTTACTTGAGGTCACGATAGCAAAATTCTTCAGTGATATATACTGTATATATAGACGATAAATGATAATACTGGTACTTATTTATGCCACTGACACAATAACCAAGAGCAGATTTAAACCACAAAGAATATTCAAACTCTACGATTTCGTTAAACATGAGCTGCAATAAATAAACAGCAGAATTAAATACTTTTAGTACTTGGTTTGAATCTGTAATGAGTCATAGATGTTGTTATTTCAACCTTTTATGGTTTATTTAAGTGTTAAATTCTCTTAAACTGTCCACTAGTGCAAAGAAAAAGTACACATGATAAATACTGACCCCAAAAATAAATAATTCCAGCTTTCACGTACAGAGCGATAAATCAATATAGTAGTTATCATGACAGGCCGAACTTACTTTTGTTTGTGACTAACCTGAAGCTGTGGTCCTTTGTGCAGTGCAACACCATCAGCAGCAGCTGTAGACGGTGTCAGGGCTCCATGGGACCTGCTCTGAGAGGGACGACCCCCTGAGCCTTCATCAAGAGGCCCCCTCCTCTTCCTCATCATCAGACATGCCTCACATCCGCTTCCCCCCGACCCCCTCCCCAGACTAGGCAATAAGAGAATGTTAACAGGTTGATGAAGTGACATGTTTTAACAAACTAAAGCATTTTTAACGGACAAGACTGCTTTCATTGTGAAACACATCCCACACACACAAGGGGTCCCAACCCGAGTCAGCTTTGCCAAGTAAGATGTGAACGCGAAACTAATCAGTGAGTGAAGAAGAGAACTCAACTGGAACTTGTATTTTGTCTGCACCTTGTTGAAAATCTTCCACCTCTGCACAGTATTAATGTTACTGTTGATGCTGCTATGCTGCGATTGTTTCCAGACACACGAGTTTCTAACCAAACTAAGCGACCAGAAGCTTCCTGTGACAGAACAGCAGCCGAGAGGACGGAGAAAACCTTATTTATGAAATCTAAAGGCTGTGGTGATCAGATCCCACTCTCACCTGACCCTTATGTAACTTTTAAGTTAATACTTTTACTTTGTAGATAATATAAATAAATTAAAAAATCAGCAAAAAAATTAAAAAAATAAAAAAAGTTTTAAAAACTGAACTTGTTGCTTTGTGGTTCTTCTGTGGGATTTTACACAATGTTAAAATATTTTTTAAATGGTTTGGTTTATGTGACATTACAAACTGCTCATATTTTAACGTTGAACTGAAGGTCAGGTCAGAATTCTACAGTAGATTTTTTAAATTGTTAGATTAGAGAAAGTTTTACTGTTCATGTGTCACTGTCTGTATCTATGTATGACTGTAGTATTAAAAATATTTGCAATATCCACACAGGCATGAACGTGGACTTCACACTAGAGATTAATATAGAAATGTTTGAACCCATCCCCAACTAAAAACAGTGAGGTTCCACATTGTGGATTTCCTGTTTGGTTATTTCTTTAATGAACACAGAAACAACCATTGAAACATGTTTAGTAATAAAGCAGAAAGTGTAATTTTGCACAATAAATCTTCAGGCCATCCCGTGCCAAAGACTCTGGGAAGGCAAAGTTGTATTTTGCATGGTGTTGCTATGGCGATGAAAGTCGTCAGTGCTTCTAATGAGCGTTCACTGTCTAATTATTTTGGCCCCTGCTCTTCCTCTGCCTTTAACAGTCTTTTCTCAAAAGTCTTAAACATAACTTCATATTTAAAACAGAGACACACGACACTTGTTTTTGGTTAGGTTTATTTTACAAAAAGTAAAATATACAGTTAATATATATTTAGTATAATTTAAAATGCTTGTAACTGAAAGGGATGCAAGCACAGAGAGGTGTGTAAAGCACTTGTGATTTTCCTTGGCAGTTCAGGGGAATATTGTATTGTTTTTTTTTACAGTGCAGGGTTAACAGAATGGACAGTATTGTGAACATTGTACATTTATCAACTAGACTTTTCAACAAACAAGAAGAAATAAAGCTGTGGTAAGACAAGACAGGCAGTTTTTTTATGTGATAAATTGAAGAGACATTTTTTTGTTTTAAAGATGCACTGTGCAACTTTTCAAGAGAAGGGTCTGCCACTAAGTTATCTCCATGGAGATGTTATTGATTTGCCTACATTTTTGGCAAATTTATCTCTATAATTTGTGAGTCAGATCTGTGGAGAGGCACGTTTTTTTTTTTTGCTATTAAAGGGCACATATTCTATTTTCGGAGCTAAGTTATAATGTTGTTTCCTCAGTAAAAACATACTTGAGTTTTGTTTCATTCACACACATTTAACACACAAACCCTACACATTTAGGTTCTTCTCTCAAACTGAAATCTCTGCTCCATTGTGTTTTTAAACTTCACTAGAATCATTTGGATACTATCAGCCAAATGGAATTTCTGATTTCGACTGAACGAAAGGTAAAATGTAGCTTGAAATCTACCACTATGTGACATCACAAGGTGGACCAGAGCATTTTGAGCTTTGGAGATGTAGACAGACTAATAATGCAGGATTACTCAAACTCAACAACTCCAGCTATATTTTTGATGAGCTAACAGCATTATAACATGATTTAAAGTTCACTTAAAGTCATTTTTGTGTTTTGTTAAGATAATACACTAGATTTACAAGGTGCCCACAAGGTAAAAACATCGATTGTATTGTCTTATTTAAGTTAATTAAGTCGTTAATGATTTGGTGAGGACATTTCCCCACTCAAAAGTTGGAATTTGATTTGAATTGCTTTATTATAAACAACAGAGGGCCGTGCCAGATCCGTCAAATCAGAAATCCTTAAACCTGCACCCCGTGAAAGGCCATACTGTGGAACATTTCACGTGAGACAGAGACAAGCACATGGCAAACCCTCTACTAGAAAAGTTACATAATACAGCTTAACACATTGAATTCTTACACTTCCATTCAGAGGCATTCATAAAGGTGTGAAGCACTGGGCGTCCCTCACATATTGCACTACACAAGTTCAGCACCACATTCACACCCTGAGTTTTCGAAAACAAAAAGGGGGAAAAAGCAACAGCAGCTACATGGCTAAAAACAGTCATTTTCGTTTAAAAAAGATATTATATTAAACACTATAATTGTTACCGTTGCTTTCCCACATAAATAATACAAAAAAGCTTGAACATTGGAGTGAAACTGGGGCACGAAATGACAGGAAGACCAACCGTACTTACCAAACACGTCTTTGATTTCTGACCCCTTTTAAAACCCTCGCAGTTTTGTTTGCAATCCAAAAATAAACAAAACATAAAAGGACTCAACCATTGTTCCTTTGGTCGATGGAGCTCAGCTTTTGTGCTATAAGAATTTTTCACATGGACCTATTCAGGAACTACGAAACTACTGAAGTCTACGATACAACTGCAAAGCAGACGAGAGGAGGTTTTGATCACTGCTGAAGTTAGTGTTAAAGCAAAAGTCGGACAGATTAGACAAAGCACTTATTTCCCATGGAGAACCTAAAGGTGCATTGTGTAACTTTTCTGGTTGAGGCTCCGTCAAACGCTTTTCTCCACGGAGATCTTATTGCTTTGTCAGGAATTTCACAGTTTCATAGTGTGACATTAAACCTTTCTATCTTCATGGAGACCAAACCAGACCAAGTTACAGCTCAGATCTGTGGATAGGCGACCCCGCTCACAGTCCAAATGTGTTTTTCAAAGTCTTTTTGAGCTATAAAACCACCTGTAATTTCAAAATGCAAGGTCATGTCATATTGTGGAACATTTCAAGCAAAGCAATGACATATCCATAGAAGTAGAAGAACGTGACGGAGCCTCCACCAGAAAAGTTACACAGTGCACCTTTAAATAATGTATTTATGTAGCCCAGCAAGTTATTATATTTTATGAATAGCCTATATTTTATTTTAAAGTGTTATGTGAACACGTTTAGACAGTTCTATTTGCAGAGGTGGGCAGAAATTGGTTATATTTGAGCTAATTAATATTTTAGTTAAAAATAGCTCGAAAAACATGCATGTTTACTATGTGCAGGCTTGCCTCTCCACAGATCTGACTTAAGCATGGATTCAGATAAACAACTCTTTTCTGATTTGAAGGACTTTGTAAGACGTATAGAAGAGTTTTCCCCATTCAAACAATTGCTACGACCACAGAGGATGTTTGCCACAGCTTGAAATCCATGAATAACTTGGCCTGGCAGTGCGTCACCCCCACTAGAAAAGTTACATAGTGCAGCTTTATAGTATTCTTACTTAAATACAAATTTTGGTTACCCACCTCTGTTCATATGTTGTAAACACAATGGGATTTATGTTTAAAAACGCACTGGCTTTGATCGGCCACAAGGGGGATCAGAAAGGGCCAGTCCCAAAGTGTAAACACCACTATTCTGAAATTAACTCACCTGAGCAATAATAATCTTTAAGGCACTACCTCCAATAATGAGCTGGTAAAGTTTCATTCATAAAAATATAGATAATCCATATTTATCAAAAATGTAAAGCTACCAAAGACATATTTTGGTTTAGGAAACGTGTTAATGCTGTGATTGTAAAAAAGGAGCTGGAGTTAGAATCGTGTTAAAGGGGTGATTGAGTTTTATATTAAAGGGCCCATATTACGCTGTTTTCTGATCACTGTTATAATGTTTCCTCATCACAAACAGACCTGGAGTTGTGTTTTGTTTCATTCACACATTTAACACACAAATCCTGCAAATTTACGCCGAGTTCTTCTCTCAAATTGAGAAAGGTCTGTTCTTGGGGTGTCATGTCATAATACAGGAAGTGCTCCACTGTGTTTTTAAACTCCATGCACCTTCACTAGAATAATTTGGATAATTTCTGCTACTGCTTCATGACATCATAAGGTGGAGCAGAGCATTTTGAGCTTTGGAGGATTTGCAGGATTACTCCAAAATGTGTAAATGAAACAAAACACAACTCTAGGTTTGTTTTTGATGAGGAAACATTAACATCTTAACATGTCTCACAACAATCTTGCACAATATAGGACCTTAAGAGGCATTTCTACATTTCTATGAGTAGACAGTCGTCGCTTTGTTACCATTTGTGTATAAAATATAGATGTATATGAAACCGTGTGTTACATCTAGGATATTTAGACATCGTAGTCTGCCTGATATCCGCTCAGGCAGGAGAGCTGGTGAGGTCTCGTCATTGTAATACAAATAAATAGAACAAACCAAAATACAAGTTTGTACTGTAAATACCTTCGCTGTAACACACTGGCACTTGGGGTTTACTGTATCCTGAAGAGCTTTGTTAGTGGTTAAAAGCAAATCGCCTCCCTCACCAACCACACATCTGATTCATTTAAGAATTCTAAAGTTGTAAGAACATTATTTTTCATTCTTATTAAGGCACAAAGGGAGTTTTTAACACTCTTTGACTTGGATTTGGACAGACAAAGAATCATTGTAATATAGAAAATTGTGAATTTGTACTCTTCATAATAAATAAATATAATTTGACTTAAACTATACAATAATGTGTGGTTTTGGAGTGTAAAGGGTTAGTGGGCTGCTCCTAGAGACAAAGGCAGAGCAAACACTGTCACAGCGTCTGCTCCACTCTGAACACAGCTTCATCTAAAATCTATGAAACATGTGAAAGTTTCTCCTGTCTCAAAAACAGCTTTGCACAAATTTGAACAGAAATAAAACTAACTTTATAAACATAGAAGACAGATCATCTTTTGTTGATCAGAGTGTCCACTGTGGCTCCTTATCGTTCTGCCAGGAGTGAACAGGACTCCTATGTTTCAAACTCTTGTCTAAACTAAGAGTGTTGTACAAATGAAAAGTGTAAATAGAAACTACACAGTGTAAAGTGCACAGAGCAGAGTGCACCGTGAGTCTGTCCAGTGTCCTTCACTCTCACAAAGAGGCTTTGGTACAACATCTGCAGAGGACAAGAGAGCTCAGGCTCCGCCCACTGACCGCAGGAGGGCAGGACATCCCATCAGCGCCGAGGACCCCCTCCTTATCATCACAGGGCCGGAGTCTCTGCACAGGGCAGACGAGGGGCTCCATGTGGTCAGTACATTTACATTCACTGTGGACACTGTGTGCGTGCTGCACGTAGAGACAGTTCATGAGGCTCACTGCGTTGTATGTTGTATGTTGTATTTATCATGTTAGGGTCACGCTGAGGTCAGAGGTCATAGTAACATGTACTGGTTGTCGATGGCGCGCTTTCGTCCTCGGAGCGGCTCCAGCTCGTAGTCTGAGTGTCTATGGGGCGGGGCAGCGGGCGGGAACAGAGGCCGCGGGCCCATGGACTCGCTGCGGCGCAGGGGCACAGCGGGGGGAGGGGCGGGCAGGGGGGCATGGGCACGAGATGGGACTTCTCTGGGAGGGGGCTCTGGCTGCGGCACAGGTCTCCCCGCGCAACTGCTCCCTGAGGCCAAACTGGGCTCTGAACTCCAGCGGTGCAGCGAGAAGGGAGCCAGGATGGACGCCGGCAGCTGACCTGAAACAAAACATCAGAACCATCAGAATGACACAGGAATAAGAACTGCCAAGAGAAATCCCACACACTGACCAGGGGAAAAATATCTAACTTTTTTTTGGACGATTGTGATTTTAAATTTTAAATTTCAGTTTTAATAATAGCATTCTGTTCACATTTTAAACAGGGCCAAAGAAACTGACAAAAAGACTGAAATAAAAATTGACAAACTAATACAAGAATCACATTTCAGAACATGCAGATTACATTATGCAGAATAAGACAAGATATTGTGCGGTTTGTGGAGTACATGATGATACTCAATTTGCTAAATGCGTCCATTCAAATTGCAATTTCGATTAGGCTGTGATGAATCTTGGAGCCCTGACACTGACCTTGTGCAGGAGGACTGGAGCCGGCCACCACATAACTGGACAACAGCACGGCCCCCGCGGCTCCACACTCCAGAGGGATGGGGAACAGGCGGAAGTGACTGAGCATTTCCATGACGGAGGGGAAACGCAAGTGCTGCACACGGCACTGCCCCCACTCGGTCAGAGACAGACGCAGGTGCTGCACAAAAACATATTTAACTTTATTAAGGCGTCTACACTGAGCTATTTTCTCATCTGTTGTTTCCTCATCAAACACAAAGCTGGAGTTGTGTGTTGTTTCATTCACTATTCTACTGAACAAAAGGTAGCTGTTGAAAACTTGAAAATTACTGCTTCCTGACACCACATCTTGTAATAAAGGATTACTCAAATGTGTGAATGAAACAAAACACAACTCCGGGTATGTTTTTGATGAGGTAAACCCATTCTAACATGACTTAAAGTAAATTTTGCATAACATCAGACCTTTAAACTACAATAACTCGATCTGTGTTAACATTTTAAATATCACATAACCACTGTCATTATCTAGTGCAAAATATAAGACGAGCCGTTTACCTTAGCTTTTCCCTGGTAGTTGAACGTGAGCACGTAGTCCCCTCTTCTGGTTTCGCTCTGTCGGACCAGGAAGACCCCATGTCCCTCGGGTCCGGAGCTCTGGACCAGGTGAGCGGCTTTCACCCTGGAGATTGGCCCGTGGAACCAGGGGAACGAGAACAGGAAGTGCTCCGCTCTCTGGGGCACAGGCTCTGGTACACTGAAAGTGATGGGGGCTGGAAAACAACAATCATGAGGTTATTTGTAGTATTAAAAATCCTATGTTACATTATTTTCTGATCTATGTTATAATGCTGTGTCCTCATCAAAAAGTGTGTTTCATTGACACGTTTAACACACAAACCCTACATATTTAGCACAGACTGTATAAAAAACCCTTCTTTATACAGTCTGTGCTAAATATGTGTCAGCCATAGCGTTCGGTTCTAGTTAAATAGTTATTGGGGCGAATTTGGAGCCGAGTGTGAAATCAGGAATAGGAACTGATTTATGGACAAAATAGCAAAACTCCAGGATTACGTAGATTAAGTTAACACAAACATTTTAAGACCAAAATGAGTACTGTGTATCATTAAGAAGTTGCCGATATGAAACATACCTTGATACACGATACGATAAATATGTCAATAGAGTGCATTTTTGATT